TGATAACTTTTAATTGCTCAGAAAGAGGACTCTCCACATCTTCTAGAACACTTATCTAAATACTTTTACGATATACAAATTTTAACTCGAAACTTTACTTTAAAAGTGAGTTAAACAAATTTTGGACAAAAAAAAATTAATATACAGATTTTACCCTTAGGCTAAGCAAAACAAAAAACATTTTTTCGCTCCACCCCAATATATATAAAACTATTGGAACAACAAAAAATATTTATAGCAAATGTTGAGTTGGTATTTAACTGCATTAGTTTCGCACATTACACAATTAGAGCTTAACTTCTCCGACAAAGTGCTACAACTGAACTCTGTGCGGCAACTAGTGAGCTTTCGAATGATATTTTACAAGTAGAAGCTCTAGAAAAGCTTCCTTCTTCAGCTTAACAATCTAAAATATATGCGAAGTGTTTAGTTTTCACAAATTTTTCAATGAAAACTGTCTCTTTACATTTGAAACAATCTGTAGAAATAAATCAATATGGACAGAGTAAAAGCCAATGAATTAAATTTGCTAAAATTAACTAGTTTCTTTCAAACTTATATTATAGTTAAAATATTTTTTCGAAATCAACTTTTAAGTAGCCTTTTTCTAATTTTATGTTACCACCTAAAGCGCTATCGTCATAACTTTCTTTTAATTTAATTGCCACTCAAAACACCCTCAACAAAAACACAAGCAACAACTTATAACTCTGGCAAAGTTGTTGATCTTTACTTTGTAAATACTATACTCGTAAACTCGACTAAAAAGTTAGAAGGATTTCAAGTTTATTTTAGTGAAAAATTCAAAAGTATTTTAGCTTATCACTTCGCGTCAACAAAGTAACACAAACACAAACAAATACACAAACGAAAATTCATAGTCATATAAAATATAAGATATGAAACAGCAACAATACAACAACAAAACGTGCAACTGTTTTTGGATTGCTAGCTCAAAACAAACAAACAGTCCTACAAACGTTTTAACAATAACAACAAAAATTATGTTAGGGAAATTTAAATTATTTTGCATCCAAAGCTTGTAAGCTTACACCCCATACTTCCTACATACTTCTACACCCCATCACCGTGGTGGAGCGCACCTTCAAACGCGTAGGTTTTCTTTACAATTTCACACGCTAACCCCCCTAATGTGCGCCAGCTTAAGCCATAATTCTGCGAAGATATGTTTATCTTTTGGTGCTTACGTAAAAGTGAATAAGTAATATAAGCGAATGACAATCTTTGTGATTAAGACTCATACTTTTGAACGCGTTAATTCGGGGATTTTTCAAGTATACCGTTTGTGTTCAACCCTCTATGACGAAAAAAGTTGCACATAAAAAGTTCAGGGTGATAAGAAATAACAAGAGCGACAGTGTTGCTAGGAGAATAGGGGAAACTCTTTCAAATAAAAAAAGGAGAAATACGTGTTTATCATCAATGTCAACTGAGTCTTTAGTTAATGCTGGTTTCAAACGACTAATTAATTTTGACACTGCCCATATAAAATTTTTTACATTCTTGATAATCGAGCAATAATCGAGATCGCCGTTTACCAAAAAAAAGTTCGCTATAATTTAAACTTTCTGCAATCGGCATTAAATTTTTATTTTTTTTTGAAACTGGTTGTTGTCTAAACTGCGCCGGAAACTTTTGACTAATATCTAGCATAGTAACGCAATTAACAGGTTTCATATTTTCGTAGGTGAGCAGGTATGATTTTAAATTTTTCAAGATGACTGTTGTCAAAGAAGTTGAATTATTTCCACTCTTCGAATATTCTGCCAAATTCACAAGAGCAAGGCTGAAACACCTTAGATATTAATTTCAAGTGACGCGTCCCGAAGTAGCTTAAATTGAAAATAATCAGCGAATTAGCTTTGTCGACACATTAGACCTTACACTGAAAGAGTCCTAGATCAGAAAAATATTGCCTTTAGTTGTTCAAGCAAGATCATTTCCACGTATTTTGAAACAATTTTCCATTATCGCCTTCAAAGCTCCTGACGTAATACAAGCGTACCAACGAGCAACCCAATTCTCCTTAAACTTGTTATAAGTTTCGGTTGGAATGGACTTCAGTTCCTTCAGCGAATTTTTTTTCCGTTTTCGGCTTATTTTTGGTACGCCATTCACTAGATTATTGAAGAGGTTCGACTTCATATTCATAAGCACACGTCTCGTCTCTAGTAATGATGCGTTCGATGAATGTAGTGCCAGCTACGCTCTCAAGCATCTCTTTTGTGAACTTTACTCGACGTTGTTTCGCCAAAAGATTCAGGTCTTTTGGTATGAAATGAGTTTAGTCGATTCATGAGAGATGTTGAGATTCTCTGCTATCTCTCTGATACAAACACGACGATTTTCAAGCACTGCTTCTTTACCTTTTGATGTTGTTGTTATTAACAGAGGCGGATTTATGCCACTAAAATACTTGTGTTCGTAATAAAGTACACGCCCAAAAAACACTGTTTGAACTTTTTCAACGATTCCGTAGCCGTGGTTCAGAGAATATTATTTTTAATCAGAAATGTATACATAGAATAATTCAGATAAAATGTCTGGATACAGATACTGGTAGAAAGTTTATTTTAAGATTGCTCTTCAATTTACATGCCACCCGGAGGGAAATTAATACTCAACTGTAGTGACTCTGAAATATTATAAATTGAAAATGGAAACTAATTTTTCTTCAGGAAATTCGGTTGCAAAGTGGTCGAGTTATCGAAAGTCTTATGTTGCTTTCGAGCCCTCATTATCCCTTTGGAAAATTTATTACTGCAATGGAAATAGTCTTTTGCGCATTTGTCTATTTGCTAGCATTTCCGTAAAGGTTTTATACAATAGCATCCAATTGGTTCTAATATCTAAGATACCTACACCGATTCTTGTAAAAGTTGAAAGATTTCTTTATTTTATAAGACATGCAAATTCTTCCCTCACTTTTACAGTACATAAATTAAAAAGAATCCCAAGTGGTCTTAAGTTATTAAGCCATTTTGTTATACAATCAACTAATTATAAATGCGTTATTTTCCACAATACACAATTATTACACAGTGATTTAGAAATTGGTTTTAAACGCACACACATATATATAATATTATAAGAAGCCACTTGATTATATGCTTAAAATGTTATACAAATTTTATATTCAAGCATTTTCCTTTGCCGAATACTAAATCCGAATGTGCACACAACCCAAATGTGCCTGTCACTGCTTTGATAATAAAATTCCACGGAAGTTTTGCATAAAAAGTTACCGAAATCATACCACACACATCTACACAAATTCATGCATATTTATGTCTGTATAATTTCCGTATGCTTTATTTGTCGTTTGTCGGTTACCATTTCCGTTTTTAATTAAATCCCTTGCTGCCGTTAACTTCCGCCGCAAATGGCCGCTGCAAATGACTTTCTTTGTTTTTGCTTTCGGCTTTTTGGCCCGTTTGGCGGTCTTACTTTTACAGTTGGCAACGCAGTCGTAATTTATTATAGTCCCCTACATTTAGCCTATTTAATACATCAAATATCATTGCTGGCACATTACTTCCATTGTGTGGCTTGGTGTCAACGTTGGCATGTCTTAAAGGCATTAGCCAGCTAGACAAACTAAGCAGAGAGCGTTTTTTTTTTTGTTTTGAGCGGTACTTTTTATGTGGCACATAATTTGGAGGCATTTGTTGGCAATCAAATAATATGTTAAGAGTTGAGGAAGAATTTTTAAAAATATCTTAAAATTTAGCAAATTCTACTGATCATATTAGTTGTAAGCCAATCCTGTGTGTTTTCTTTAGAGATTGTTAGGAAACTCAAGTTGTAACTTTTTATTAAAAAAAAGCTTAAAAATGGCAGATTTTCCTACAAATGTTTAATATAATTACCAGACTCGCAGTGATTTGATAATTGCGGGCAGCAGCACCTTATTGTATTTATCAGTTTAGAGAAATAAGTAGGAGCTTTCATACTTGTCTTCCTTGAGCTTACACAAGCTTTTACAGACTTTTTAGAAAGCTTGCTTTACATACATAACTTTTATCAGCTTTCCTACACACATAACGGGCTTATCCTTCTGCTAACGCTCTACCCAATTTCTCTACTTTGCTGATAGTTTTTAAAATGGTTTGAATGCATTCTGAATCCATCGCTATTAGAAAATAATTATTGATATTCATAGCCTTAGCATGTACCTCTTAATACTACACTCGGGGGAACACACTTCTCTCAGAGAAAGAACAAAGAAATATTATACAACTTTTCCTTGAGTTTCTATTAAGAAAGTAGCTTTGTTAAAAGCTGAATGAGCTTTTGCATTAAACTTTTATGGCTTTACTAAAGCTTTCATTAGCTTAGTCAGCTAATGAAATGACAAAATGGATTAAGAACTGCCAACTAACATCTGGCAAGTATCTGAAGTCAACACTCTCGACTATTAACCCGTTCACTCTTAGAAACATAACTGTATAGAACTATGGTATATAAAAATTGTTTAGACTTGATTTCAGTAAGAAAAGAAGAAAGAAGCTAGAACGAAGGATCATAGTCAAATGGGGACGACCATATGGATTTCGGTCTCTTCCACCACAGAGCTCAAAACTAAAGATTAAAATTTCGAAACGAGCACTACTTAATCGACCCACTTTATACAGTCGCTCGACTCAAAATATTGTATATCCACGTTAATGAAGTATAAGTCTGAAAGATTAAGTAAAATAATATAGAAATTTGAAACAAGGGTACTTCAAGGCTGATCTAGGACTTCGAGCTCTCTTATGTTGTCAGAAGTCGTCAGTAAACATCAGAGCTAATCATAAAAATAAGGTCCCATTAATCGAGATTTGTAATTCGAATACTCAAATAGTACATTCGCAGAGGAAATAAATCGACTCTATCTCTTAATAACTAACTCAAACTCCAACAAATATACAGTTGTCTTCTCTCACCTTTACCGACATAGTTTTTCATTTTTCCGCTTCTAACTTTTCTCATTTCAGAATTGGCAGGCGGTTGTCAACTCATCGCTCGCCTCACTGCTGCTGCTCGGCGTCTCGACCACCATTGCGATTGCGTTGGTTGTAAATTCCGAGTTGGTGCCGAAAAAAATGTTGCATATCAATAAAATGTCTACGGCAACAGCCGCAAGTGCACGCGCAACGACAATAAAAAAGGAACAACAACAACAAATTCATCATAAACAACAACACGACTTGAATATGCGACATAACTCTACAAGTGGCAATGACAATGGCAATGGCGCGCCTATGACCGACGCCTCTCCCGCAACCACCATCGACGCGCATAGCTTGAGCGCCACCACAAACATTACGCAAATCAGCAATAGCAACAACAGCAGTGTGGGCGTAGGCGTCGGCGCCAGCTTCGCCCTTATAGGCAGCAATGACAATAGCATAACCAGCGACGGCAGTGCCACCGCCACCAGTCGACGTGTGGGCAGTGTTTCGGGCGCGGCAGCAGCACGCTCTGCGGCGCTGGTACAAGAGCTCTATTTTCCGGTTAGTGTACGCGCCGTCATCGGTATTAGTTGGCTGCCGCCGCTGCTCTATGCCATCGCAGTGCCGCTGATATGCAGCATTATTGGCAAATGGCCACGCAATTGGTGGCTTGAAGTGATGAGCAATACAACTGCGAGTACGACAACAACAACAACAAGCACAGCAACGTCCGGCGCTATGTTTGGTATGCCACATGGTTTGTCGCATACATTCGGTGGCGGATATAGTGACGGAAGTGATTACTTAGTGGCGAATATGGCGCCCTCACCGTCACCCGCATCGTCGTTAAGTTTGAAGGTTGAACCAAGTCACGCAGCCAACCAAAGCAATGATGTGTATGGCGTGTTGGCGAGTACAATAAGCGACAGCATCTTAGAGGCGGCATCAGTCACAGCTGCTGAGATTACAACCGCTGCCAACGGTATATTAACAACAGCTAGCGCTGTTACTGCCACTATCACGAATAGCGCCAACAACAATAACGTCACCACTGCTGCGTCCTCCGCAAGCGCCTCTACATCGACGACCTTCTCCATTGCCGGCTGGCATAACAACTTCCAACCGGCAGCTATCTCCGCTTCCGCCACCGCTGCTGCCTATCACGGTGACTTCGCGGCGTACACCGACTCAGACTACGTTGAACTGGAGTCACAGCTTACGGGCGACGGTAGTAACGTGCCATCACTCAGTTTCATTATATTTCTTTGCGTCGATTTACTTTTCGTTTTGCTCTTTTTTGCGCTCTTCGTCATTTTAATCAAGAAACTTTTATGGCTGTGGCATAAAAATCGAAATATTCACGCGCATCCGCAGGATAAGTTCAATGTGGCCATGCGTAGACGGTAAGTCAGTTGCAATTTTCTTCAACCGCAAGTGAGCACGAAATGTTGACTTATTTATTTTATTCTCATTTGATGTTTTATTTCATTTTTTATTTATTTCTCTGTTGAAAGTATGCAACGTTGCAGTGCCATGCAATTCAGATATTTTACATTTTAACTTCTTGATTGCGCAAGTGGGTGAAAAACTGTTTAAGTTGCTTGAGCTCAGTTAGTTTACGAGCGATTTATTTTTAAATCGTCGCTTTAACCTTATAAAATTTCATACAATTTAATGGAAAATGTTAGTAAGCCTTATTTAAAGTGCGCAATATTTTTTGGCTATTTATATACTCATATTCCAGCATACCGCGTGCTTAGGCTAAACACATATTGGAGCATAAATTCAAGCATCGATGGTAGTAAAGTAAAAAAAGAACTTTGTAGAATATTTGCAATACTTTTTGCATAGTAATTCAGTACATTTTTGTTATACAATACAGAGTATTACCTTGGCGTCGTGGCTATTCAGTTTGCCGTTGATTTGCGTATCGTAATGTATCCATTGTTTTTTTGGTAGCATTCAAGCATCATTTCTGATATGCAAAATCATATTTCAACGTCTTTTGGGTTCAATCAATATGGCACCCAATTTCATTGCTTTTGAAGACACTCAGTTGCTTTTAAACATTTTGAAATGGCTGCTAGAGTGACTCCCAAAGATTCTACAAGCTCTTCTTGTGTTTGACAACAATCTTCATCGAATAATGCTTTCAGTTCTTCATCGAATAATGTTTCAGTTCCTTATCTTCAAACTACCTAGAACGGTAGCTTTGCAACGCATATTCAAGCCATCTCCGAGAAGCTTTTGATGGTCATATATTATACGCAAGAGTCGATAGAGAGAGGATTCGGTTTATATTTTCATGGACTCCTAAAGGGTTAAATGAGCAAATCAGAGTGTTCTCTGTGGCATGTTATAGATTTTTAAACATTTCATATAACTACGTACAATGAAATGCGTATATAAGTTATATTTGTATGAAGACTACCCTATTTTATGCGGTTTCGGCATCAATACACAATACTTATTACCAAAGAAAGGTGTTCTCTGAATTGCATTAATTGTTGGTGTATCTAATAATTCAACAGTATGGCCATATTTTAAGATTAAGGTGTTGTAAAATAAATTCTAGCTATATAAACACTAAAAACAATTGGTATTTAAGACGAGTTTAAGAAAATACACAATTACAAATAAAATTTTCTCACTAATAGCTAAAAGTGTTATTTTTTTGAGATGGCTACTCTGCTCACAAATTTCAGAGCATATATATATTTTTTTTTAATACTAGAGTACTTAAATCACATCACCAAAAGGAACAAAGTTTCTAGTATTGACACTATTGAGGGCAGTAAGCCTCAACTATATACATATATATCAACGCAGTGTTCATTAGTAGTGTTTATTGCTAAACACCTATTTTCGAAAGTACAAATTTTCAAGAGTACTTTTCCTATGAAAAGGTTTCTCAAACTAAAAAAAAATTACTACCTCTTGAGTGGTGTAACCTCATAAAACTTGTCAGTACTTAAATTTCTGTTGACCGACGCACATCAAAAGTAGAGGAAGAGTCTGTACACGTCTGTGCATTTTTTGATGATTTTAGGCATCAACTATATATATACTATTATAATATAAACTCAGTATTTATGAGCAGTGTTTAATTTTGTAGACCAAAATTGTTCGAAAACTTGAGTTAAATGCTCACAACTATATAATAAACTCAGTGTTTATCAATAGTAGTGTTTATAGTTGTATTCCATAGCTAATTTTTCAGTTATGAGATATTCTTTATCTTATGTATTGTACTTAACAACAAATTTATGAAAGTTCAAAGTTTCCATGAAAAGGTTTCTCGAAAGGAAAAATTATTTTTTTTTAACTAGAGCAAAATCTTGTATGAAGGATAGTCGCAAAATTGTTTTAAAGGGTTGTCAGCATTAACTATACATATAAAATCTATGCTTATAAATAGTGTTTAGTGCTAAACACCGAAATTGTTAGCAAACTCGGGTTTATGGTTATTTTCTGCTGAGCTTTTAGAATGTTTTAAGCATCAATTATGTATATATATATATATATATATATATAGATATAAACTGTGTGTTAGGAGTAGTGTTTAAAAATCAACACCAAATTTGTCCATAAACTCGAGTTTATGGATATTTTCAATATATTCAAATCTTTCAAATCTGAGTGATTCGTAATCTTAAATGTTTTTAAAGTCTTCAATTTTAATTCTATTTCGTCATAACACTGAAACAACTAGTGTTAGTGATAAGTAATCCAGTTTCAATTTGTTAAAGTATTACTACTTTTAACTACTTTTTAAATATTCGATAAGTGTACTCATGTATGCATATGTTAATTATGACTCTAAAAGCTACTTTCTGACACTTGCTTACACATAAATAACCGACATTCAAACATGAGTGCACAGAAGCGTAGCAATTTGATACCGCATATTACTAAATTATGCGCTAATATATTTATGTTGTTACAACTAACTAGCAACTAGCTTTATTTACTTCAAGCAGCACTACAATGAGCTTAGCAAAAGCGAGTAATAATAATAACTAACAACAATGTATAGTTAAACTTAATTGCATTACAATATTGTTTTAATCGCCACGCTATAATTTATATTTGCATTTACTACAACCACGGGCATTTAATATTGTTATGTATACATATATATGTGTATGTAAGTATATGGTGTTAGCATTACTATTTTCATCTATTTGCTTTGCCTATTTAGATATTCGCCTGCGTTTATTATAGTCCTTATTTTGGTTTCTGATTTCAGCATTGGCCTAATTTACCGCACCGGTTGTTTGCTGTTAATGAAATTATCAACGGATGCATTATTCATAGCATATGTAAATTCAACACAAAATTCATGGTGGTCCTATCCGTTTGGCATATCTTGTATATTGTTGGTAAGTACAATTGAGCGCTAGTACATACCATACATATACATATATAGAAAATACATATTATATATACAAAGTTGTAATTTCTAAATTTTTGAAATTCACGCAATGCACATAATTTCAAGCAGGCATATGCTGAAAAAATATATTTTTCATGCAAAAATTAGTATAAAGTTTTACTAGTACACAGCGTTAATAATATACTGTGAGTGTATACATACAAACATATATAAATATATAACCTTAGTACTTATTCATATATTTTTATTTGCCCAGCTGTTAATGCAAATTTGTTTCAATATTTGCTCAATTTGTAACTTTTCCATGGAAATGCTTAGATATAAGCTTATTCCTACACAAATTTGCATACAAGCACCCGCTCCAACAGTGCGGTTACGTATACGCCATGCCACACTTTTCGACGCTCACTCCAACAGTGCTGTTACGTATACGCCATGGCATACTTTTAGGTATTACATCTATTACGATTTCAGTATAATTGGAATTTGCATGCAAATTAAATCAATTCGCCGCAAATATGTCATTTGAAAAAGCCTCATTGAAAGCGAAGTGAAGATAAGGCGGAACTAAAGTGACGCGCACGCACACACCTACAGATAAACGTAATTACTAATGCACGCATATGTATGTATTTGTAGTGCATATATTATGTAACACTTCAAACAATTTGATTAAGATGTTACTTTGAACCAAATGCTTCTTATGCACCATGTTGAAACATTTCATGCATGAAACTAAGAAAACGAGTAAATATGTTATTAAAGAAAAACTGGAATAAGTCCCGGGTTCTTCTTTACTCTTGTTTTCTTTTACTTATTTTTAAACTGATATTCCCGGAAAATTGCAACTATCTTTGAATAAAGGCGTAAACAGCTTTGTCATATGTTGTTGTAAATTATTGCCGAACAAACTTTTCACACTTTAATGTATTATATAAGCGAACGCTTATATAAGTATAAAGAACTTTCATTTAAAATTGTCTGCACTTTCACTTCAATGAAAATGGTCATTATTTTAATGAAAAGTCTGCCTTTACACACGAAAGGATTTTCAGTCACATTGTTACAAGCTGATAACAATTACCGAAAAGCAACCTTAACCCACAAAATTTATACGCCAATTTCATTTATATACCTACAACTGACTGTTTTCGTTAAATTACGGTTTTTGTACAAACTTTCTGTTGAAATAGTTTGCGGCACTCACATGACATTCACGCAAAAGCCAAGTCCATGGCGTAAATAGTCAAAAAATATTGCGTCACTACTGAAAATATACATATATACCCTTTACGACATTTTGGTTTTTTATTTATAGGCAAATAAAAGTTAAAGAAAAACAGTAAACAACAATAAATTACAACAATAAATATAAAATAAATTGCAATGTTGGAACTACAGATTAAATTTATTTTTTTTTCCAAGTTGCTTGGGATTAAAAATTAAAATTTTTTTTTTTTGATTTGAGTGAACGCGAAGAAGTTTTAATTCAAACACAAATTCTTTTTTTAATTCTTAATTATATTCTTGAGATTAAAATTTACTTTTTTCATCTTTAAATCCGGTAGTTGTGCTTAAAAATTAAAAATAAATTGAAAAAAAATTTCATCTTCGTTCTGGTATTAAAAAAGTTCTTTTATTTTATAATCCGGTTTGTGGCATTGAAATTTTTAATTTTTTTTTTTGTGCTCCGGCATGCGGGATTAAAATTTTAAATAAAATATAATTATTTTTAATCCATCATTTGCAACCCTGTACTTAATTGATTTCAATTAATTTTATTTGATGTGAACCAGTAAAACGGTTTTTACTCTACTTATTTGAAAAAAAAAATGTAAAATCCGAACATGAGAGTTAATGATTTTTTTGCAATATTTGAGAAAAATTTAAAACATTACAATATTATATTTTTTTGTTTATCAAGATCATTTGTTTCATTTCAAAACGCCCATCTCTCTTAAAATGTGATACTTGCTACTACTTCTTTACTTTTTTCATTAATTTTAATTTTTTTAATTTATATTTTATATATTTACTTTTTTTGTTTTACGTTTTTATTTTAATATATTTATTTTTATATTTGACTTTATTTAATTTTAATTTTTTCTAATTTAATTTTTTTTCACTTTACTTTAATTTCAATTTTAATTCCAATTTCAATTTTGATATTAATTTTAATTTTATTTAATTTAAATTTATTTAGTTTTTACTTTAATTTCAATTTCACTTTACTTTTATATAATCTTTACTTTATTTTAATTATAATTAATTTTTTTTTGTTTGTTAATTTATTTTAATTTGGTTTTAATTTTAATTTGGTTTTAATTTTAATTTTAGTTTTAATTTTTGATTTTAATTGATTTACTTTTTACTTGAACTTTAAATAAAAAATTAATTTTAATATTTATTTTTATTTTACCTTTAATTTTTAATTAATTTTAATTTTATTTCTATATTAATTTTAATTTTAATCTAGTTTAAGGTTTAGTGTTAATTTTAATTTTAATTCTTATTATAATTTCAATGTTAATTTAGTTTTAATTGTTATTAATTCATAAATTTGATTTTAATTTTAATTTAGTTTAAAATTTAATTTAAATTTTTATTTAGTTTAAAATATAATTTTAATTTTAATTTTTATTATAATTTCAATTTTATTTTAATTTTGAATTCAATTTAAATTTTCATTTTCATTTTTTAATTTTCATGTGATTTTCATTTTAATTTTAATTTTAAACTCATTTTTCATGCTTATTGAATTTTTCCAGATGTATTTCCAGATACGAACTATATTCCTACAAATGTTTACTTAGTTAGTATTTAATCATATTCAATCGTAAAAACCATTCCACCTATTCTATTTCATTCTGTAGTACTTTCAGTTTATCTAAAAAAATTTTAAAGTATTTTTTAATTTTTTATATAAAAATAATTTCACCTTCTTCTAGAAATTATTTTCAAAAATTTTCATATATTTTCTTCTTCTTCTCATTGCACAAAAATCACATCAGTTTATCACATATCCTTCGGGGTATATGAAAATTATGTCTCCGTTTGCGTACGAGCGTGTGTATATTTGCCTTTATTATTGCACGCATGGTCGCACAATTTTCAAGTGTCTGTGCGAAATTGCGTACTGCGTTAAATTGTCGTCAATTTAATGTCACGCTCAGGCACAGCAGACGCGCACATAACTAAAACAAAAACGAAAAAAAGACTGTTATCACCGCGAGCGCTTATAAGGGCCAACATGTGTTCAAGCACACGCCACACGCACATACCCAGACACAGACGCGCACATACAACAACCAAACAAATGCGGTTAAAAATACACGTGGACTTTAACGCTACGCGTCTGTTCGCGCTGTCTAAACAATTTCGCTCACTTTTATGCCGCTTTGTGTGCATGTCTATACGTGCGTGTGTGTGTGTGTGTGCTGGCAGATACGCCTGCAATTATGCGTCAGTTTGCTCGTTTTTTCACACGTGACTTTTTAAAATTTTTTCCACTCCCTCCTTTAAACACGTTTATTTTGCGCATTTTCATTTCCATTTAATTTCTCTCTCCTTTGCGTTTACCGCTTGTGCTCCCGCTTACAATTCTGTTTTTAGCATTTTTTCCACTTACACACTTTTTCCTACTTTCTATCTGTTTGTCCTTTTAATTTTCGCCAGCGTTTATGTTTATGCACATTTATGATTTTTCTGTCGCTGTTCTGTCGCTCCCTGCTTTTAATTACTTTTACTGCATAATTATGTAACACACGCTCACTTTAACCGTTGCAAATCGCAACACAGCCACAAACGCGGCCCCGCCTGTCTTTTTTGTTTTTGTTTTCACAAAATTTCTTTTTAATTTTTTCTTTATACTTTTTTTTTTGTTTTGTGGTTTTAATTTGTTGCAGCAGTCACTTGCAATTTGTATTTGTTGCGGCCGGCGCTTATCACTGGCCCGCAGTGTAATTGTCGCCGAGCTAAAGTTCAAAGGCTACGACAGACACGCAATTCGGTGCGTGAAAAGAGAGGAGAAAGATTTTTATAATTCCAAAGAAAGTAGTTTTTGTGCGGAGTATGAGGAGACGGTTGTAAAGAAGAAATATTTCAAAGCGCTTTAAATGTAACATTTCGCTACTCAAAAGCTGAAAGGGAAACTGTGAATGGAAGAAAATTGTAATTAGTAGCAGAAGGATATTTTGGAATTTTTTCTTGAAATTTTTTTTTAACTTGTTTTCTTGAAATCTTTTTTGTTGCAATTAATTTATTGAAATTATTGTTCTTAAAATTTTTTATTAAGTTTTTTTCTTGAAATTTTTTTGAAATAATTGTTTTCATGAAATTATTTTTCTTGACATTTTTTTTGACATACAATCATTGTTCTAGAATTTTTATCATGTAATTTTTTTTTAAAACTATTTTTATTGTAATTTTTTTTTACATTTTTGTTCTTAATAAATTTTTAATTAAATTATATTTTTTGAAATTTTTTTCTTGAAACTTTTTTCTTGCAATTTTTTATTGAAATTTTTTACTTACATTTTTTTTAAATTTTTTTCTTTATATTTTGTATTGAGCGTTATAGGCAGTTGTCTTTCAGTTACTTGAAAAGAATCTGCACTTAGGCCAGTAAAACTCTTCTTTGCACCTCTCTCCCGACATAAAAAAATGTAATAATGTTTTATTAGTTCAAAAATGTTATTGAACTTACTATTTTAACAGAATTTCGGGCCTATCAACCTCAAGCCAGCCAATGATTAGCTTACAAAATTGTATCAAGAAATTTTTCATCTTATTCATATACACGCAAGTTTCAAACAATAAATTGTTTACTTAAGAAAAGTAGCATACCTTTAGGCGTGTGTGGAAATAAATATCTTGAAGACAAAATTTCAACAGAACTATGTAATTGCAGCTGCTAGAAAATAATGCAATGTAAAGGATGAGTTATATTTTCTTAGGTACAGTTATGTGCGGCAGAGAGTTGCAACT